CACAATATCCACTGTGTATATCACCTCCTCAATCTCTAGGTACACTTCCTCCCCGCCCCTGAAATTTGGATAATCAGAGTGACCTGAGAATGAAATAACGCAACAGAAAATATAATTCTGTTCTGACCATCACAGTCTAAGGTCAGTGGCCATGAATACTAAGAAACTCCTGAACTATTAGACACTGGGGACGAAAGGGCTAATTTTCTGGTTGGTAATAGATAAATTAATTTCTCATCTTCGACAATATTTGCCTTTATGCCTTAACTTTTCAATAGCCATTCTTTGATATTTCTCTAGTTACTAATTATATAGAGAGTAATTTTTTAGCAATCTACTTCTTGTAAATATAAATATGCACAAGTGATTGCCCTACAGCAGGTAGAGCTAGTTTTTTTCCAGTTCTCCTCTTTCTTCATAGGAATAGAATTTTTATCTCAGCACATGTAGGCTCAGAAAAATGACTACATTTCCCTCCCCACAACCCCCCAGGCTGATACTATTAAAATCTGGCCTATGGGATGTTAAGCAGAAGTATCATTTGGCAGCTTCTGAAAACTTTCCTTAAGAGACAGCTGGTACTTGACTTTTACTCCTTTTTCATGATCTTTTGTCTTCTCCTGGTGGCAGAAATTTGGTCATTATAGATGGACACAGAGCAGTCGTGTCGACCCATTATATGACGTTGGAAATACAGGCCCTGGGCATTGGAGAAACAAGAGCGTTGGGTATCCAACACCATAGAATGCAATTCCAACACAGAGCCATTCACTTCCAGATTGTTCATGAGAGATCAGTTTCTATCTTATTTAAGCCACTGTCATTTTGGAATTTTGTCACTCTCAGCTGAGCCTAATTATAACTAATACAGCATATATAATTATCATTAAAGCTGCTAGAGCAATGCCATATTTCATTAAACCTAAGACATCAGCAAATATAAGAAAGCATCCTAATTTCAGAGGTGTTAAATAAAAAAAAAATGTGCATCTGGAAATGGATGAACAACGATATTTTCTAAAATGAGTTCCTTAGAACACTAGTTCTGAGGAATTTTAATAGATGATTACAAAAAGGGTTGATTAATCAAACAAGTCTAAGAAACACTGGTTTTGAAAATTAGATTTTTGCCTTCACTGCAATATTTTGTATAAATTGCTAACGTATGTGAGGCTCTAAAAAGTAGAAACAATGTTCATTATTTTAAATGTTCATAATTTGGCCAAATGCAAAATATTTTATTTCATATCATTTTTTATTGTGAAGCAGATCAATAAACTGGTGCCTTATGGGACATACTTTAGTATGAACAAAACAGACCCAGACATATGAAGGCCAGAGAGTAGGTGCCTGTTATATCAACATACAAAATCACTTCAGGAATCTACTTTTTAGCAGCCCAAAATATTTGTTCACAGAGGGGGGGAAAAAGTAAATTTTCACATTTCTTTTTGAAGATTTGTCCTGCAGTGATCAATTCAGTCCCACTGTGTTGTTCAAGTCATGTTCAATTCTACCACAGCGCTTGGCATCAGACTGCGACTAGGACAGAAAAATTGAAAACCTGAAAAACTTGATTTGAAACATAACACATTCGTTCTGCCACAAGTGCAGATGAATAAGGAGTGAGGCTGGATATATATTTTCTAAAGTTCACCAAAGGATGTGGGGTTCCATTCTGGAAAGGAGGGACACAGGGAAACAAAAGAGACTGAGGAAACATAAGTCCATGTTTTGATGTTCTTTGAATTTTAAAATTCTTAATTCAGTGAAGGAAGAACAACCAGCATACTATTCTGTCCTTGGCTTTTTTCCTACGTGGACAAGAAGATTCTGGGATGAGCTGAGGGAAATACGTGCTTAAACATAGAGTCCACAGTAACATCTGGCTGTGCCCTCTTCTGCAGCACCATTAGCACTTACTGCGTTTGGAAAGCCTGATGCCATATGCCTTATGTTCATGACTGTGGGAGCTAAACATTGATTTTATGGGAAAAAAAAATGGCCATTTTTGTTCAATATTATAAAAGTACTTAACTATATAACTGTGT